GTTCTATTTAGCCCTGCAGAGTTCTTCTGTCTGACTCTGACTGTGAAAGTCTCTCCGGCTCGTTAAAACGGTTTCTTGTGTCGCTATCCGAGATGTAAACTTAACTGTGCACACTATACAGATAAGTGAACTGTTGATCACTGTTGGACCTCAGCCATGTGTGTGCAACAAAGGACTCAGGCCTGTATCACACTTCTCAAGCCTGACTAGAGTTATTTTGGAGGCACCTAAACAAAGGAGTTTTAGCCTAACACCCCCAAAGCAACTAACAAATAGGTGTGAAAAGTGTCGGGGTGGGGGGTGTCTGAATTCTCTATCCTCATTGGAGGAGGCCTGAGGTAAACCCACAGGCAGCTCCAGTCTTTAAAAGCAATCACCAGGCATTGCTTCCTTCTCTTCAAGTGTGGTCTGCCGACACCAGAGGATACCCTCTCCATATGATGGACTCCAGCATTCGAGACAAAGCCTTTCCTCCTCTTGACTTACATAAGTTAAACTCCAGAGCTGAGGTTGTTCAGTATAGGTAGCTCTTCACATGCTGAATTCAAGCATCAGAGGATTCAGCTGATTACTTCCACGCCATATTTTAAGGAGTTTTGGGCGCAATCAGATGCTATCAGGTTCGAGCAAAAAGAAGAGTTTCTTTCCTTTGATTTTTTGAAAGACGTCATTGAACGCAACTGAACAGGAGCGCTGAAGGAAGCCCACTGATCCCTGAATCCACAAGGACACATAAAGAACTCAGCTCCTGCAACCAGAAGACCCTATAGAGCAGCGCTCTGGTCGATGATCTGAATCCCGCTACCGTTCCTCCTACATCTGCCATGAAGGAAACCTGCCTGAATCTGTTGATTTAACGTTCAACAGAGTGACGATCTAACCAACTTTGCAACGGATCACCAGGAGTTACCCCAAGTAAGAGCTTTGGTCTGGGCAGAAATAGTTTCAGAAATAGTTATGTTTCTTTTATAACCACTGATAATTATGCATCATTGTTGACGTCACATTCTGTTTATTATCTGTTGTAAGCTACTGCATTTGTTTTATTGTAATGAACTGCTGTGTTCACCTATGTGTTTAATGCTATGCTAGTTTACCTTCAGTCAACGGCTTTCTCAAACAGAAAGACCAATGTACCCGCCGTTTGAATCAAAGTCCGGCCACTGGCTTTCTGGTGTTTAAGTAACAGTGACTGAACTCAGCTCAGAGAGCTCAAACTATTTCAAAAGGCAGCCACACGGCTTCCTTTGTTGTCCACCATTTTGTCACCACGCACGCACGCACACAATTGTGTGTTTACATTGTGATATAAGCTGGGTGCGAAGGCTTGTGTACGGATTTCACGCCTTCAATTTATTAAATATAGTATTCATTATTAATAATATTAGTAATTAAATAACTGATTTGAGACTGATTTGAGTGATATTTTGGTTATATTTACCTGATTACAGGTTGGTGCCCCATAACGAGATTAAACATAGTTTAATGATATTTTATTTATATTATTATAATTAAATATAAATTATTAAAGAATATAACCAAAGTTGACTGATACAACCCCAACATCACGCCGTGTGGGTTTTGGAAAAATATCAGAACAGTTGCATATAACCGGGATGGAGTTGTTTTTTGCGACTTTACTTTTAAGTTTTGTTTTCACCGCTTCAGAACAAAAGAGAGGGTGAGACTGTGTCGGAGCACAAACTGCAGCATGATAAAATAAACACATTAGCCCGGGTCGACGATCTCTCTGTTTTGGCAGATCGTCAGCACGTTAAAATCCTTCACGATCTAAGATCGTTATATTGCCCACCACTAGTACGAGTTCAGTATTCCTCCACAGAATCCACGACCTGCAGCAGTTATATGAATGTGTGAAGAAGTGATATTTGTCCAGTGGACAAAGGGAATCACCATGGCAACGAGGGCAACAAATTCAAAAATCAATGCAGGAGTCCAAAAACACCACGCTTTATGCAAACTGAAAAAACAAACGAGCCAGAAAAACCGTCCAATGAGAGAAGAAAGCTGCACATCGAACGATCACAGCAAGACTTCCTCTTAGGTTGTTTGGTTCAGACTTTGTTTATGAAGCATGTTGCAGCATGTTCTCCTCCTGTGAGGTCACGTCATCTTCTACGCAACGCACGCACGCACGCAGCACGCACGCACACGCGACTCCAGCTGACTGACAGAAACCCTCAAGAGAGACCGCTCCATCTATTCTCCATCTCCTCCTCAGAGACACAAAGTGGACAGAGGACGCAGGCGGTAAGGATAGAGGACGGGAGAGGAGGAAGGATGAAGACATAAGGACAGAGACGGGAGAGGAGGAAGGATAGAAGAGGTAAGGACAGAGGAAGTAGGAAAAACATAAATGTTGTTTTCTGCACTAAATAGTGCGATTTTTAGAAGATTTCTTTCTTTTATTTTAGCAGACAAATTTAAATCTAAATATTTTGCTTTTCATCGTCTGACATGAAGACCAAAGTAAAAAAAAAGTTAAAATGTCGGGCGACTTAAAGTAAACAGCGAGCTGGTTAAACGAGCAGGTGCTGCAGGTGTGTCACTCAGTTCACACAGCATCATTGATAAACACAGCTCTCATACTCACTCTGAACCCAGAGTCGTAATCATTGTCTCCAAGCTCCTACGGACAGAGAGACAGGTGGACAGACAGGTGGACAGACAGGTGTGCACAGACAGACAGGGCGAGAGACAGACAGGGAGAGAGAAAGAGAGGGCGGATCAGATCAGCAGCAAAGAGGAAGACTGGAAGCATGAAGCTAATCAAAACAAATCATCACAGGGTTAATATTTATATTTATGTTATAAATGAATCAGGAAGCAGCAGGAGGAATGGAGCGAAGGAGGAGGAGAGGGAGGAGAGAGACAGAGAGGGAGGAGAGAGAGAGAGAGAGACAGAGAGGAGAGAGGGAGGAGAGAGAGAGACAGAGAAGAGAGGGAGAGAGAGAAGAGAGAGGAGAGAGAGAGAGACAGAGAGGAGAGAGGGAGGAGAGAGAAGAGAGAGGGAGGAGAGAGAAGAGAGAGAAAGGAGAGAGAGGGAGGGAGAGAGGAGAGGGGGAGGAGAGAGGGAGAGAGAGACAGAGAGAGAGGAGAGGGAGGGAGAGAGGAGAGGGGAGAGAGAGGGAGGAGAGAGGGAGGGAGAGAGAGAGGAGAGGGAGGGAGAGAGGAGAGGGGGAGAGAGAGGGAGGAGAGAGGGAGGGAGAGAGAGAGGAGAGGGAGGGAGAGAGGAGAGGGGGAGAGAGAGGGAGGAGAGAGGAGGAGAGAGAGGGAGGAGAGAGAGACACCTGAGACTGCACCGGAGACTAGACCACACCTGAGACTAGACTACACCTGAGACTACACCTGAGACGAGACTACACCTGAGACTAGACTACACCTGAGACTAGACCACACCTGAGACTAGACCACACCTGAGACCGCACCTGAGACTAGACTACACCTGAGACTAGACCACACCTGAGACTAGACTACACCTGAGACTACACCTGAGACTAGACTACACCTGAGACCAGACTACACCTGAGACCACACCTAAGACTAGACCTGAGACCAAACCTGAGACTTGACTACACCTGAGACTACACCTGAGACTACACCTGAGACCACACCTGAGACTAGACTACACCTGAGACCACACCTGAAACTAGACCACACCTGAGACTAGACCTGAGACCAAACCTGAGACTTGACTACACCTGAGACTACACCTGAGACTACACCTGAGACCACACCTGAGACTAGACTACACCTGAGACTAGACCTGAGACCACACCTGAGACTAGACCTGAGACCAAACCTGAGACTACACCTGAGACTACACCTGAGACCACACCTACGACCAAACCTGAGACTAGACTACACCTGAGACCACACCTGAGACCACACCTGAGACCACACCTGAGACTAGACCTGAGACCACACCTGAGACTAGACTACACCTGAGACTACACCTGAGACTAGACTACACCTGAGACTACACCTGAGACCACACCTGAGACCACACCTGAGACCACACCTGAGACCACACCTGAGACTAGACTACACCTGAGACCACACCTGAGACTAGACCACACCTGAGACTACACCTGAGACTAAACATGAGACTAGACGACACCTGAAACTAGACCACACCTGAGACTACACCTGAGACTACACCTGAGACTACACCTGAGATCAGCCTACACCTGAGACTAGACCTGAGACTAGACTACACCTGAGACCAGACTACACCTGAGACCACACCTGAGACTAGACCTGAGACCAAACCTGAGACTAGACTACACCTGAGACTACACCTGAGACCACACCTGAGACCAGACTACACCTGAGACTACACCTGAGACCACACCTCAGACTAGACCTGAGACTAGACCTGAGACCAAACCTGAGACTAGACTACACCTGAGACTAGACCTGAGACCACACCTGAAACTAGACGACACCTGAGACTAGACCTGAGACCAAACCTGAGACTACACCTGAGACCACACCTGAGACCAGACCTGAGACCAGACCTGAGACCAAACCTGAGACTACACCTGAGACCACACCTGAGACCACACCTGATACCACACCTGAGACTAGACCTGAGACCCCACTTGAAACTAGACTACACCTGAGACTAGACTTGAGACCACACCTGTTCTAACCCGTTACGGCTCCACTGCTTCAGGCAAAAACGCTCATCACCTCACTGAGCTCATCTTTATCACCTCACTGAGCTCATCTTCATCACTGAACTCATCTTCATCACCTCACTGAGCTCATCTTCATCACCTCACTGAGCTCATCTTCATCACCTCACTGAGCTCATCTTCATCACTGAACTCATCTTCATCACCTCACTGAACTCATCTTCATCACCTCACTGAGCTCATCTTCATCACTGAACTCATCTTCATCACCTCACTGAGCTCATCTTCATCACTGAACTCATCTTCATCACCTCACTGAGCTCATCTTCATCACCTTGCTGAACTCATCTTCATCACTGAACTCATCTTCATCACCTCACTGAGCTCATCTTCATCACTGAACTCATCTTCATCACCTCACTGAGCTCATCTTCATCACTGAACTCATCTTCATCACCTCACTGAGCTCATCTTCATCACTGAACTCATCTTCATCACCTCACTGAGCTCATCTTCATCACTGAACTCATCTTCATCACTGAACTCATCTTCATCACTGAACTCATCTTCATCACCTCACTGAACTCATCTTCATCACTGAACTCATCTTCATCACCTCACTGAGCTCATCTTCATCACCTCACTGAGCTCATCTTCATCACTGAACTCATCTTCATCACTGAACTGAACTCATCTTCATCACTGAACTCATCTTCATCACTGAACTCATCTTCATCACCTCACTGAGCTCATCTTCATCACTGAACTCATCTTCATCACCTCACTGAACTCATCTTCATCACTGAACTGAACTCATCTTCATCACCTCACTGAGCTCATCTTCATCACTGAACTCATCTTCATCACTGAACTGAACTCATCTTCATCACTGAATTCATCTTCATCACTGAGCTCATCTTCATCACTGAGCTCATCTTCATCACCTCACTGAACTCATCTTCATCACCTCACTGAGCTCATCTTCATCACCTCACTGAACTCATCTTCATCACTGAGCTCATCTTCATCACTGAACTCATCTTCATCACTGAACTGAACTCATCTTCATCACCTCACTGAGCTCATCTTCATCACTGAGCTCATCTTCATCACCTCACTGAGCTCATCTTCATCACCTCGCTGAGCTCATCTTCATCACTGAACTCATCTTCATCACCTCACTGAACTCATCTTCATCACCTCACTGAGCTCATCTTCATCACCTCACTGAGCTCATCTTCATCACCTCACTGAACTCATCTTCATCACTGAGCTCATCTTCATCACCTCACTGAACTCATCTTCATCACCTCACTGAGCTCATCTTCATCACTGAACTCATCTTCATCACCTCACTGAGCTCATCTTCATCACTGAACTCATCTTCATCACTGAACTCATCTTCATCACTGAGCTCATCTTCATCACTGAACTCATCTTCATCACTGAGCTCATCTTCATCACTGAACTCATCTTCATCACCTCACTGAACTCATCTTCATCACCTCACTGAACTCATCTTCATCACTGAGCTCATCTTCATCACCTCACTGAACTCATCTTCATCACTGAACTCATCTTCATCACCTCACTGAACTCATCTTCATCACCTCACTGAGCTCATCTTCATCACCTCGCTGAACTCATCTTCATCACTGAACTCATCTTCATCACTGAACTCATCTTCATCACCTCACTGAACTCATCTTCATCACTGAGCTCATCTTCATCACCTCACTGAACTCATCTTCATCACTGAACTCATCTTCATCACCTCACTGAGCTCATCTTCATCACTGAACTCATCTTCATCACTGAACTCATCTTCATCACCTCACTGAACTCATCTTCATCACTGAACTCATCTTCATCACCTCACTGAGCTCATCTTCATCACTGAACTCATCTTCATCACTGAACTCATCTTCATCACTGAACTCATCTTCATCACCTCACTGAACTCATCTTCATCACCTCACTGAGCTCATCTTCATCACTGAACTCATCTTCATCACTGAGCTCATCTTCATCACTGAACTCATCTTCATCACCTCACTGAACTCATCTTCATCACTGAACTCATCTTCATCACCTCACTGAGCTCATCTTCATCACCTCACTGAGCTCATCTTCATCACCTCACTGACCTCATCTTCATCACTGAACTCATCTTCATCACCTCACTGAGCTCATCTTCATCACTGAACTGAGCTCATCTTCATCACTGAACTCATCTTCATCACTGAACTCATCTTCATCACTGAACTCATCTTCATCACTGAACTGAACTCATCTTCATCACTGAACTCATCTTCATCACTCATCTTCATCACTGAGCTCATCTTCATCACTGAGCTCATCTTCATCACTGAACTCATCTTCATCACTGAGCTCATCTTCATCACTGAACTGAACTCATCTTCATCACTGAACTGAACTCATCTTCATCACTGAACTCATCTTCATCACTGAACTCATCTTCATCACTGAACTGAACTCATCTTCATCACTGAACTCATCTTCATCACTTCCGCTCTGCAGGGAGGATGTGGGAACGTGTTCCGTTACCTAGTGCCGATTGAACTGCGCATGTGCACAACAACCCAAACCGGGTTCAAACGAAGCCCTCTTGTACACGTCACCGTGACGCTGGTACTAACCGATCTTACTGACTCTATTCCGGTTTGGATTTGAACCTTTCCCCCGGTATGACGTCAGGCTCGGTCCGTGATCAGGTCAAAGGTTGACAGCAGGTAAACAATGTAAACAACAGAAAGCATCCAGCAGCAGAACAAACATAAACAACAACTAGCTTCAATGCTAACTTTCAACTGAAAACAATGGTTACATTACCAACAGCTGTGACGTAATTCTTGCTACTTTCTAAAGCTGTTAAAGGTTCCATTAAACAGAAACGTGTAGATGTCAGTTTAAAGTGTTTATTAATGGTGTTAACTTTCACTCATATTATCTACAGTGTTTAAAATCCGTCGAGAATCACCCGGAGAGCCGTTAGCTCGTCGTTAGCTGAAGGAGCTACCCGGTGTTGTGCTCGAAGTTGTGACCGTGTTACCTGGTGACTGTAAACAGAACGCGTCTGTGGTTTGTCTGTTAAACTGGAAGAGGGTGAGAAGCTGAACTGAAGAATGGCCCCGTGTGTTTAAGACATATATCATATTAAAACTAAAGGAGAGGAACTCGGATGGAGGACTACGACAACGCACTGAAGACACCAGGAAACAGGGTGACTCGTAACACCGATACACCGGTGGATGGAGTGAAACCTTGTTTACCGGGATCAGGGGGACTTCCTCTGACTGTTACCTTGGATTTAGAGCAGCTGACGGACCGTATGGCTCCGAAGAAGATGGGCAGCAGCGCCATGAACACCAGGCCGCCGTAAGCCAGCGCCGTGCCCTCCGGTGTGGCCACGAATTTAACCGTCGCGTTGAGCGCCTCGGTCCCGTTCGAGTCCGTGGCGTTCAGGGCTTCCAGGACGGCGGCGGCGGCCTCCGGGACCGAGACCGGTTCAGCCTCAGACATGTTTGTTCAGAGTCGGGCTTCAGTGGAGAGCTGGAGCTGTGTCTTTCTCATTCATCTACAACAAACGCTGCTGGAGTCTCTGTAAGGACACGTTTCCTAAAAACAAAGAGCAGAGAGGCAGCAGAAGCGAGGAGGTCTCACTCTGCTGCTGCTTCTAGGGACCAGAAATATCACTGTCAAGTTCATGCAGCCGTACAAAATGACAGAAGTGATCAAATCTGTACATATTTATATGTATATAGTATTACAATCCTCAAATTAAAATGATCAAATTAAAACTGTCAATTTTGTAGTGTGTGAATTCATCCACAATGCATTGAGAAAAGTCTTGTGCAACAACGGATGGGCTGTATTCAAACCTCCTACTACACTAGTAGTTCATCCTGATTGGTCCAAAATGCAATATGTGAACAAATGTGAGATGTAAGTTTGTTATAAATACCCGGATGTCGTACTGATTCAGGAAACATCTACAGTGTGCATCAGACCCGTCTCCCTCACCTACTGTAGCAGAGTTTCACTTCAGCTGATCTGTTGTTTACTTCCTCATTCCAAGACACTCAGTTTACTGCACATTTCAAGTTTACTTTTTTTATTTTATTTACCATTTTGTTTTGTACCTTTTGGACTGTTTAGAATTTATTACTGTAAATATTATTTATCTTATTTTACCGTATTTTATTTTATTTTATTTTATTTTATTTTGGTTGTCTTGCACCGCGGGACGGATTCAAACGCAAGTTTGATTCCACTGTATGTCTGGCATATTTTGACTTTGACCAGAAAGCTTAGCCGGGCTTGGTGTACTGCAGAATAACCACGACTGGAGGTCAGAGGTCAGACTGCAGTGTGTAGCATGCAGTACATACTGTACACTACTAAAGAACAGAGTATCTAGTAGGTTGTTTCTAAATCAGCCACGTTCACTATCCAAGCAACTTGTCCCATCATGCATTGTGGTTTAAAGATTTTTCTGAGCGGAGTTTGACCCTCAGACAGACGAGAGGAGCGACCAACCTGAACACAGAAACACAATCAAGTTCATATTTGAGACGTTTTACTGAAATCTATGATCTGTTTTTAATAAAGATTTAAATATTCTAGTCTGTAAACACTAATAAAAAAGTTTTTGTGTAAAATATGTCTCCTTAAATTTTGAATTTCAGCACTTCATGTTTATTTATTGTACTGAATTGTTTTAATTCACTCAGTTTAGTTATTATCACTGAATTCATGCTGTTATTTATGGTCATTATTGATCCCTGGTCGAGGTTAAACTGCACGTTTTAGGGTTAAGGTTGACGTCACCATCAGCGGCCAGAGTCTGAAACCTTGATCTGATTGAGCTGAATGAGTTCCCTTTGAAGTCCACTACAGAGAGCTCCCTTTGGAGGGAGGAAGGCATGAGTGAGTGACGTCTGACACATCCATTCATTTATTTGAGAGGAGCGTACGAGGTGCTTTAAAAGATCATTCAGAGGCCACGTGACACCAGAAAAAAACAAAACAGTCAGGCCTCACTCAACAAGTCAAATGTTTCCTTCTCACAAGAGTCAAACCAGAGTTCTGACATTCTGACGGTAAACAAACATCTGTCCACATCGTCTACAGTCTTTAGTGAGTTCACACTTTGTGACTTTAAATCTTCAGACACACACGATCACATCGACACACTGAAATAAAACATTTCATGTTTGAGGTCTCGTGTGATCATAGCTGCTGTAGCGGTGTGGGACGTCTTGTTTACAATAGACGATCTCCGCTCGGAGGATGCAGAGTGTCTTCTTCGTTGGTGGAACAGTTTGTTCTGTGACACATGAGGGTGCAGAAGCCCAGCAGCGCCATGCTGCAGACACAGAACAGGAAACAGACAACGCGGATTCAATATTTACAGGTTTTTAAACAAACGGAAAAGAAGCAACTGGAACAATTTAACGTGAGAAACTGTCTGAATGATGATCCAGGAGCTGAACGACCGAAAACACCTGGATTTAGAATATTTAGAGAACAAAATGCCCTCTTGTTGTGTTCATGTTGCCTCTTTGCTGCCACCATGTGGTGAAAGTGTGATCTTCAGAGTTAGAACCACAGACTGTTAATATGAAAGGTGCACGTCACACAGAGGGTGTGTTTGAATTGTCCCTCCTGTCTCCTTCACTATCCACTTCACCTTAACCTCGGGGAAAAGGTCATGAGGTCAAGGAAAGATGTTAGGAGAAGTCATAAAGGACTTAGGGAAAGGAGATCTCGTTCTGACAATCCGACCACATTTCCACTAGGCCACGTCATTAAATGTGACGGGCCGGCGGAGGTTAATGACGTGGGTCTGCCGTGTTGAAACTACAATGTTCAGATAATGAACTACAAAAAGATCATGTAAAAAACTCTTTCTGTGCTTCTTACCGGTGAAATAATCCTGATCACCACGAGGAAGTGAAATTAAAGAAATATAGACGACCAGGCTACAAGTAAGAAAAGTGAAACCATCAGCTTCCTGTCCAGTCAGAAATCAACACCAACATCAATATGATTGGATGAAATGAACTGTTACATTAATGTAAGATATAACCTACACATAATGTTTTAAACATACAAATGTACAGCAGCACAAAACAAGAGAATGAAATCTGTTGAATCAAACATCCTCTGATAAAAATGTCTCTTATCTTTTATCTCTTTACGATCATCGTTCATGTTCCTGAACGGTCGGATGACGTCATATCTCATCTCCTTTCCTAAAGGATAGTCCAGTGTATCCTAAAGGAGGTTATCAAGGAAGCATTGACCCACCTTTCCTTAACTTTTAGAGAATTCAAACGGCTCTTATCATGGCCGCCACTGAAATGCTTCCGGGGTTAAAGGTGAAGTGGATCGTGAGAGGAGACAGGAGGGACAATTTGAACGCACCCATTGACTATTACAGCTCCCTAATGGCAGGTCTTCCTACTTCCTGTCAGCACCTGTGCTCTGTTTCTGGTCACTTCCTGTCAGCACCTGTCCTCTGTTTCTGGTCACTTCCTGTCAGCACCTGTCCTCTGTTTCTGGTCACTTCCTGTCAGCACCTGTCCTCTGTTTCTGGTCACTTCCTGTCAGCGTGATGAATTGTAGAATGATTGGATGAAGCCTGAGTGTCGTCCCCCGTCTGATCCTGCAGGGGGCGCTGGAGTCCCATCGATGGCGTCCCCCGTCTGTCCCTGCAGGGGGTGCTGCAGTCCCATCGATGGCGTCCCCCGTCTGTCCCTGCAGGGGGCGCTGGAGTCCCGTCGATGGCGTCCCCCGTCTGTCCCTGCAGGGGGCGCTGGAGTCCCATCGATGGCGTCCCCCGTCTGTTCCTGCAGGGGGTGCTGGAGTCCCATCGATGGCGTCCCCCGTCTGTCCCTGCAGGGGGCGCTGGAGTCCCATCGATGGCGTCCCCCGTCTGTTCCTGCAGGGGGCGCTGGAGTCCCATCGATGGCGTCCCCCGTCTGTTCCTGCAGGGGGCGCTGGAGTCCCATCGATGGCGTCCCCCGTCTGTCCCTGCAGGGGGCGCTGGAGTCCCATCGATGGCGGTCTCCATGCTGGAAATGCTGTCTCAGTCTAACTTTCAGTCAACCTAACGACAGGCTGAGAGCTGGAGCTGAGGCGGGTTTTAAACCTCCTGACAAACCGTTACACCGTGCCCACCTGTCAATCAGGTCAGCTACACGCCTTATTGTGAATAACTCTTATCCTTCATCAAATCAAAACTGATGAGTCATCAAAACATTCACCCCCCGTACAGTGTGTGTCCATCCAGACATGAGCTAATCACACCTATTTGGTTTTTTGAACCAGGATGTAAACATGTTCATCTCTGCTGTAAAAACAGGCTTTTTAGAATGGGTGTGTATGTGACTTCCTGTGCTTCTGCAGCCAGCCTCTAGTGGACACTCCAGGAACTGCAGGATTTTACACCGTTCATATTCTAAGTTCATCTGGGATCATATAATGAAAAAAGCTTTTTAATGTTTAATATACAAAACTTTACTGGATATATGAAGACACAAACAACCAACAGATGAGAAGAAGATAAAAACATGAATATTCAGAGTTTTTGAATCTACAGTTTGTACAAAAGTCCTCTGATGGGGGGACAGCTTCGTGTGATGGTCCAGGTCTCCATGTTGTCATGAAACATAATAAAGATTATTATTGTCTGTTCATGTAAACATCTCGTTCTTACAGTTCAAATAGAGAAACAGAATGAAGCATCTGACGTCATCCTCTGTGAAACTTGTGAACGCTCCGTTCTGATTCAACTCGCACAGCGTGATCGTGATCTTAGCTCGTACATCGTTTAACGATACAGTCGTACAGAGTGCGCTGGGCTTCAGAGGGAACACTTTGTCCACAAGGGGGCGCCAAATTCAAGTCATTCAAGTTCAAATAGAGACATTTAAAAAAAACTTCAAAGTTATTTGGACTTTTAATCACTAGTCATGTGACTTTCCGACTCGTGTTGAGTGAAACCTGATCGATAGATTAATCAGAGTTCAGGTGAGCAGACCCGACCAGACGATCACAGAGCGGATAGGAAGGATTGGACGACTGTGCAAATGAAGAGGAGGCTCAGGAAGGGCGTGGCCTGAAGGAGGAGGGCGGAGCTCTGCAGTATAACCTCCACAGGGTAGTGGTCGCTTATCTCCACCACCTGGCAGGCAGAAGCAAACGAGCACAGAGTCCATATCATTACACTGCAGTTCACCTGATTCAATGTGCAGAAAAACATGAAGGACGACACACGCACCTTAGTTCGGGGGATTTTTAAGTCTTTGCCAAAGTTGAACACTTTCGCAGAGTACGCTTTGACCCCCCTCAGGAAGGGTTGACCGTGCACCACGATCCTGACACACACACACACACACACACACACACACACACGAAATTTAACTTTGTGCAAAATAACAGAAACTTCCTCACTCCCTCTTTGTTTTCTCTGTGAGAGTTTCTATATTACATTTCTTTAGACCCCCACCCAACACACACACACACCCCACACACACACACACACACACACACACACACACCACACACCCACACACCCACCACCACACACACACTGTCGTAAGCACAGCTGGTCATGTCGGTGACGGTCGTGTCCACTCTGTCTGCGATCAGCCAGGAGAACTTGGTCTGGAGCAGTCGGATCTTTTTCCTGTCTTGTCGGTTCATGTAGGCGCAGCTGGCGTAGAAACCTCCAGGAACATCACATTCTACACACACACACACACACACACACACACACACACACACACACACACACACCACACGATTGTTTACTTTATACAATGACATGGTCTAAGAGATGATTGGTGTTTTTTAATAATAATACTTTATTTAAAAACAGGTTTACAAAGTGCTTTGACAAACAGCAAAAAAGAACAAACTAAAGCAAACACAGAAGAACATAACAACAACAAGAACATAACAATGTAAAATACTAAAAATAATTAAATACAATTCAACAGAAAAGAACCCAAAGTGCACGATACACAACAGACATATAGAACCAACCATCACAAGAAACCCAGGAAACACAAGACCATACACAAAACCATCACAAGAACCCAGGAAACACAAGAACCATCACAAGAACCATCACAAGAACCCAGGAAACACAAGAACCATCACAAGAACATCACAAGAACCATCATAAGAACCCAGGAAACACAAGACCATCACAAAGAACCATCATAAGAACCATCACAAGAAC